TAATTATTGCTGATATTATCACTAACTCTACTGACTGTCAGCACATCAATGTTTCATTTAAAACACCGATACTTCCAGATTTTTTAAAATTAATTAAATGGCTAATTGATTAAGTAGCTTAAAAACTATTTATTTTCATCAAAAAAGTTGCTCACAATGATTAATTAAAGAGTTGTGATAGAATAAAACATATTTTCATATTAAATGTACATTCATTACAGTTACTATTTTTGACATACATTTTTACATTTCAATTTGTTCAAAAGTTAAAAAAACAGAGAAATTTTTGCAGTAAATATAAACTTTAAACACTAATATAAAAAGTTTTAATCAGCAAGTTTATTAATTTGTACGTTCAAATCAAAGAAATAAATAATTATTTAATTCCAGTTTTATTTTCACTTTTTGATTTGCTAAATCTTAGAATGTTTTCAATTTCATTTTCTAAAATCCACTTTGATTTGCTCGTTTTGATGTTTTAATTAATGATGAATGACCGCAGAAAAATTAATTATTATAAAAATATTAGTAATTACGAAAATTCATACCATAATAATAAAAAAAATAATAATAATAATAATAACAATACTAATAATAATAATAATTAGAATTATTATTTATTCACATAAGTGGATAACTGAAAATCAGAAGTAATTAAATCTTCGAGCATTATGTCAATAAGCGAATTTTGCAACGTAAAAAACAGCTATCTTTTCAATATTTTTAAGCTTTAAGCTTTAATCCAATTTTTAGACGAAAATTGAAGCATTACTTCTGGTTTTTTCAAATTTAGAACTATGCTTAAATCGAAGCTTTTTGAATATCTCAATAATTCATCATTATTAATTAGTGCTATCAGATATTTATTCTTACTTAATCTTGACCTTATTTACTTGTACAAATAAATGGTTCAATTTGATAAGAAATATTAACCAAATTCTTTTACTCTATTAATGATCTCAGCTAGAAGGAATATAATTGTGTTCAATTACTTTTCAGAACATGTGGCACACACACATTCTTAAATCACAAAGTAATGTTTTCTAGTAAAATTTTGCTCAAA